ATGGTGCTAGAGTTTCCAAGGACGACAAAAGGGCTGAGCTTATATCTAAGTTCTTTCAGTCGGTTTTTACGAGAGAAGCCGATTTAACTGCTGACAAATATACTGTAGATGGGATCCCAAAAGCTGAATCCGCGATGTTTTCAACAGCTATTTTTCTATAAGGACTACGTATGCTGAAAAAAGCGACATCGCCAGGCCCGGATAAAATACCGGCAAAGTTTTTAAAAGAGTTAGCCGTGGGGTTGGCAGAACCCCCATATCTTCTGTTCCATGCCTCCCTCGCTGCAGGCAGACTGCCATCTGAGTGGAAGACTGCGTGGATTTTACCGATATGTAGAGGTGGCAGTAGTGCTTCTACAAGTTACTACCGATCGGTAAACCTCACCTCCATATGTTGCAAAATTATGGAGCAAATTATTAAACGCGAACTGATGCAGTTTTTAGAGCATCATCAGCTTTTAGCTGATGCGCAACATGGATTTCGCAAAGGAAAGTCCTACTTGACCATTTTTCTCAGTTGTCTAGAATAGTGGAACCGAGCGATTGGTGGAGGAAATGAAATGCACGTAATCCACGTTGGCTTTAAGAAGACATGCGATAGTGTGCCCTACCAACGTCTCCAATAAAAGTTCAGTCGTATACCGGTAAGTGGTTAGCTTCTGAAGTGCATCGGAGACTTCTTTGTTGACCGATCCCGGACTGTCCGTCTTCGGTATCAGGAATCGGCGGTAACGGCTGAGAGCAGAGTTCCTCAGGACTCGGTCCTTGACACTATCCCCTTCCTTATATATATATATATATATATATCTCAAAGACAAACGCGTCCTTTAGGAAAATGAGCAAACTTTATTTCTTACATTTTTGAGTCTGATTTCCCAGTCCGTCGTTGGACGTGTAGTAAGCGTGAAGAAACGGTCAAAGTTTAAGCATGCGCAAGAATCGATATTGCTTTGTCAGGGCCGAGGATGGGTCAATGCCGTGGGCTGATGCCACGTTTTGATTGGCTATGACCTTCTCCATTTTTCTTTGAGATTTGTGTACATGACGTCAAGATCGATTCATCGATTGATGCATGAATCATCAGAGGGAATGGCCTCTAAGAATTCTCGGCCTTTCTTATGTGGGCAGGAACCGAAAATGCGTGTTTTCTCCCAAGCAAATTTGTTTCCAGTCTCAAAGGTATCCATGGCGACTTGGAATAAGTGGTCCCGCCTCTTCACTGCCAATTGGTGTTCATGTAGGCGTGTAGAGGCGGATTTTCCAGTTTGACCACAATACACTGCATTGCAAGTGCCACATGAAATCTCATAGACTACTTCTTTTTTATCCAAATAGCTAACCCTATCCTTAGGGTGTACATGCTGATTGCGTACCGTGGTAGTCGGTCTGTGAGCCACTTGTATTTGGTACTTCCTGAGGTGTCTTTCAACGAGTTCAGACACATTTTTAATGTAAGAAAGCGTTCGCCAATATTTAGGTTTTAGCGTCTGATCGGAAAAATCTAGCTCCTTATCTCTTTCCTTTGATTCCTACTGTCTGGAAGGTCCCGTCAGTTTTTCGCTGTACTAGGTCATCAAGAAATGGGAGTTTGCTGTTAACTTCTCCTTCGAGCGTGAAGGTAATTCCCGGTAGTGTTGAGTTGATAGCGTTATGCAGCGCTTCTAGCTGATCCCTCTTGACGATGACAAAGGTGTCATATACGTAGCGTATCCACATTTTGGGATTGAATAATGGTAAGGCCATAGCCTCCACTTTTTGCATTGGGACCTCAGCCAAAAAGCCAGAAATAGGTGAGCCCATAGGAGCTCCTTTCAGCTGTCAATAATATTTAGGTGCAGACGAAAAGTTTGTTTCTAAACATAGGTCCAAGAATTCAAACAAAGCAGATGCCGGAACATCGATGTCGTAGGATTGTAAGAGTTCTTCTGTGCACTGCCTTGCTAAATCGAGTGGTATGTACGTGAATAGAGAGACAACGTCAGACGACATCATCATCTCATCTGTATAAATAGTGAGTCCTCTTATTTTGTCGAGAAATTTAAAAGAATTATCGATTGAAGTCTTACCATCCTTTGCTGAGGGCTGTAGTTTGTGGAATAGCCAATTAGAAATATTGTAATTCGGTGCATCGACTAGTGATACTATCGGTCGCAGTGGTACGTCGGGTTTGTGAACTTTCGGTAGTCCATAGATTTTGGCGAATGTTGGTTCCGTTTGTCTTAGGGATTTCGCGATTTCTCCTGGTAGTTGTTTCTTTCCTGAAAGACGTTTCAGCACTTTACCAATGGGTGAAATTTGTGCTTTGGTGGGGTACATAATGATAGCATCTTATGAGTGTAGTCTGCTTTGTTCAAAATTGCAGTTGAGCCTCCTTTGCCTTCGGGAAGAATGGGAATGTTCTTGTCAATTATCAGGGTTTTTAACGCCTTTATGTCCTCGCGTGACAAAACTGGAAAGTAGTTTCGGTTCCTTAGGGCCTGTACAACGCTATTCCGGATGGTGAAACGTTCATCATCAATGAGTCTGCAATTTTAAACATAGCAGCCTACAATAACAAGATGCTATCATTGTTAGAAGATAGGTCAACCTAGATGCCTCGAGCAATGGTCAGACCACTGACTCCTCCCGTTCAGTGTTACCAAGTGCAACATTCTGCGAATCGGCAGGACCAGCAATGCGCACCGGAAGATGTACTATCTGAATCACGCACAGCTACCAGAGATAGAGGCTCAGAAGTATCTAGGAGTGTAGATCACGATCTCACTAAAGCCATCATTACACTGCCTGAAAGCAGTTAAATTCGCAATGTCAAGCTTATATCTCATCTAGCGGGCTTTCGTGAAGTTCGATGAAATGTGCTTTGGTAAGGTCTTCGGGATGTTCATGCGACCACAATTAAAATTTGCCATTCAGGCCTGGAGACCATGGACTGTCAAAGACCGTAGCGCCCTCGAAAAAGTCCAACGACGGACAACCAAGCCTGTCCGAGGCCGAGGCTACCTGTCTTACGAAACGCGACTGCACAGTCTTGACTTTTCGTTTATACTACAGGCAACTACGTGACAACCTTATACAGGACTTTCGCAAATTTCAGGGTCAGAACTGTTGCCTCGCGTCCGGCGACTTCTCTGCGCTGATTACCACAACAAGCTTGAGAGGACATCCTCTCACACTACGTGCGACTGGGGAGAGACCTGAAACAAGGAGGCTCTTCTTAGTCAACAGAGTGATTAAGGCATGGAATGCTCTGCCTGCAGACATCGTCATGTCTCCATCCGTGGACATATTTAAGAGGAAGCTTAACCAGTACGGAAGACATACCGCCATGCCGTCAGAAACTAACATATTTCTACCCTTGTATCACGCCCGAAAGTCATGCGTCACCAAGCATAATACACCCAGTGTTTCAGGAACGCTATTTTAAAATTGTTTTGGAAAATACCCTATCTGATGACTTTTGTTATTCGAAGCATTCTGGCTGAAGTTCAAGTGCTCATCTTTATACTATTTGTCACACTTCAGCAGTAAGTTTTGATACTCCTATTTTCCTACACCATGCAGGCACTGACACATACTTGTGATTACCAGACGGCCACATGCTTGCTGCATGCAATTCTTTAGCCACTGTGCTTTCCAACCTCCTTTATGTGTTTGTGTTTTTGCGACGTTATTGCAGCCAATAAAAAGTTCAGTGGCACCCGTCTACTTTTTCCTTAATCCAACTGAAATGAACAACGTTTCCTTGCCTTCTCGCAATTTTTTGGTTAATAAAAAAGATCAGTTGGATTGACGTCGGGATGTTGGTAGGGATAGAAATTTTTCGCAGTCCGCAGGCGAAGGGGTTGGTTTTGGTCCAACACACTTAGATTATGGTCATGAGTTAAATCAAAATGATGCCTCCTATAATCAGTGAACAGGAGCAATATCCTGCGACACTACGGGGTGCATTCGACATTGATGAATGTCGTTGTAACCGAAGCCATCATTTACAATGTCGGCGAACACTTTACTATTGGTCTTTGGTGTCCACCACCAGGTCGATCGCTCTCCTAATTTGACTGACATCTAAAACATCCGGTGTCGGCAGATCTTGAAAGCTGCTGTCAATTTGATAAATAAGTGGAAGATATTATTGTAAGTGGTGTTTCCGAGAGATCTAACGATGTTAGCCCCTGTTTTTGGTAAATTTTTCCTAAATACAGGCCTATTCATTCAGAAATAATTGTTGCCAATTCCTTTTTGAGTTCTGCCAGTCTATGCCTGTTGATCACCAGTCGCACTCTGCGATTCACATTCTGTGCATCCGATTTCTCTCCAACAGTGTAATTTATTTTTACATCGTTAACCTCTAGCTGAAATTCAGTCACCTGGTCTGTCAGAAGTTTTCTTTATTACAACTTGGCTTGAGACAAGATAAGAGTAAAATTCAGAGGTCGGTAAAGGCTCTTGGCCTCTGTACGTAAGCATGGCTTAACTAAATCCACGTCAGAAGGTTTATCTAAATCTAATTCAGAAGGCTTAACTAAATCGAAGTCGGAAGACATTACTAGTCAGTCGTCACCCCTTGTAACTGGTAGGCAGCTTAATATGTCTGTATTTGACAACTGCAATGATCTTATACTAGCGTTAGGCCTCTGCTCCCAATTCTTGGAAAATTACTTGACAGGCACATTTCCGATATTCCCTCTCAAGAATGTAAGCGTCCTGACTCACTTGTTCACCTGATTGCCAGTGACAGATAAAAGCGTGCTTACAACTTTTTGTTGAAAAATGTTCCTCGATCTGCCCGGCCAGTTGGTGTTGCGACTAATTTCCTGTATTCGTGTGGTTTCAACTACGAAATAGCCGATGCTAAACGCCTGTCCTCCCGTAGTAAACATCTGCCTGTCTTAGTAAAGTCGTTTTCAACAATCGAGGTCGACTCAGTCGTTGTCCATCGAGATCGTGTAACTGCATACCTGAAATATGCAAATTTTTTCCTTTGTCATGATCTTACTCCTATGGAACGCAGAACTGGTCCCTCTTCTCACGTACACCCACATCTTCTCAGTCTAATACTCACCAACTCGGTCATAATTACAAGTGGCCGTGCGGATTCAGCTGGTTCAACTCCTGCGACATCTGACTCCCTCCTTCCGATTACTCCTACATTTCCATCTCGCTTAGGCCACTTGGCGTATTTGCCTGCCCCTAAACTAGCTGCAGCAGCAGCCCCATTTGTCGTTGCTTATTCTCCGGATAGCCCCGCTGGGACGCATGAAAATCCGCCTACATCAGCTAGACCGATAACTCCCCCCGTTCAACAGGGTGCTGCAAGCTATACAGTTAATTCACCTGTGGCTCCGAAAGAAAGGTACTACAGTTCCATTTAGAGGTACGCCGCCTTCTCTTAGATCTACGAGGCCTTTACAGTCCAGCACGTCTACGAACTCCTCAGCTCCAATTATATGCCCAAATAATTCTCTGTCCTGCGTGCCGGTTGCTTACGGAAGCCATACTATTTATCCAGCAAATAATTCATACGTCAATTGCTTTAAGTCATTTTTCCCCCAACCCAGTTCACGCTTCCCTCCACTTAAGGCCACCTGTTCTCCTAACTTCTTTGACTTCTAACCTAGAACTGATTTCCCACACTTTTATCCTTATAGCTGCCTATCCCCCATCAGCCTCCACCTTCCTTCTATGTTCCATTCTTCTTCTTCTTCTTCTTCTCCTCCTCCTCCTCCACAATCAAACTGCCGGCAAGCTTATCTCTGTTCTAACTCCCTCAGCATTCCAATGTTCGAAAACTATGTCCCCACATCCTTTAAGTCTCATGTCCAGCCTTCTTTTGCTGACTCTACATACGTCAATAACTCTAGACTAAATAATGCTTATTCCCAAAACATCAATAATTCAAAGCTTACATATCCGACTCCAAATTTTTTTAAATACTGTCGATACTAGCCTTTCTGTTCGAAACACATTAGATATTATATAATTGAATGTCAGGTCTTTTATAAACAAGATGGCCCGAATCAGAGCCATTGCTCTCGAAATGACGCCTGATATAATATATGCAACAGAATCTTAAACCCACTCTCTAATTCCTGACTCTGCTCTTCTTACAGATGACTTCGATTTTTGCGCCAACACCGCACGACTAGGCGTTGGGGTGGTTGTCGTCTTTATCTTTCATCCTAACTTTAGTACCCTACCTATTGCCTGGATGTCACCTCATTCACTGGGAACTTCTGCTTTGCATCTGTTATTCTCTCGCCGCAAGGAAAGGCAATTATTGGCTGTATCTACAATCCCCAAAACTCGTCAGCCAGTGATGATTCACAACTTTCTGAAAACTTTAAATCAATTTCGGAAGCTGCTTTCGATGCCAAAATAATCACTGGAAGTTTCAAACTTCCTGAAATAGACTGGGTTTTCAATAGCTGTCCACCTAGATTCCAGTCCTTTCAAGATATTGTCAATTTTTGTAACTAGTCCCAGCTGTGCGCTCTCCAACAAGAAATAATCACATTTTTGATCTAACCTTTACCAATAACGTTGATTTCTTTTCATTGCTTTCAAAAAGGACCTCTTTGACAGTGACCACATATTAATTCGTTGTTGCTTACCGCTTGCCTTTTCAAAAAAGACCAGCACCGTTCGGACTTACCTAAGCTACGATTGCGTAGATAATGACTTAATAAATAACTATATTAGATCATAGGGTTGGTGCAGCTTCCTCGCCTGTAGCGATGCAGCCATTCTTCGTGACGTTACGTCCAATGTTTTCAAGGGCGCCCTAGAGTTTGTGTCGCATATATATCTCAAGCCTAAGTCTTCAGATTGCTTTGTTCCTCAGTTTCATTGCAACAGACTAAAAACGTTGAGACGGCAGTTGCGTGATCCATCCGCTAGTTCTTTGTCCGCTCATCTTAGAACCTCAGAGATGTGCGAAATGTCCCGAAGGATGCGCAAAGCGCGCGACAGGCAAGGAAAACCACTTTCGCTCAGTGATCCGATTCCTGGCAAATCCGTCTCTAACATCTTCCCTCATCGGTTCTCCTCTAAGCGGGGTCACAAACTTCTACCCCTGCTAAATGATAACAAAATCTTTCTAGTCGATGACACTGACAGGGCGGACTTGTTTAGTGCTTTGTTTGCGAAACACCTCACTATTTAGTCCGAACTGGTCCCTTTCTTTCGTTCACTTTCAGACAATCGATGTCTCCTCAGATCTCATTAAGAAACACATAAGTCGTTTGAAATACTCACACTGCACAGGAACGGACGGGATTCGAAATTCGATTATTAAATAAGCATCTGACCTTCCCATATTGCTAAGTCATTTATTCTCGGTTTATATTTCAAAAGGACCCTTTATTGAAACATGTAAGACGGCAATTATCGTTCCTGTCTACAAGGCTGGATCTCGGTTCGATGGTAATAAGTGTCGGACGTGCACCAACAGCATCTCTAGCAAAGCTTCTTGAAATAATAATTGTCAATGAAATTCTTGACTTCTACCTAGCTAATCGGCTTCTGAGCTATAGTCAGCATAGATATTCACCTGAACGATCCTGCGAAACTTGTCACTTGGCATTTCTTAATCCAATCACATCTCTTCGTAATGAACAGCAGTCAGTGGTAGTTATCTACTTTGATCTTAGCAAGGCCTCTGACAAGGTGTCCCAAAGACATCTTTTAGTAAAGTTGGAAGCTCTTGGCATCCGGCCGCCTCTAGTCGACTTCATCAGGTCCTATCTATCCAATCGATGTCAGAAAGTCATGGTCGGTAATAGCTCCTCGACACCTCATTCGATCACGAGTGGCATACTTCAAGGCTCGGTTCTGGGTCCGCTACTCTTCCTTCTTTTTATCAATGATATTTTGACCGAAGCCAGAAATTCGCAGACTTTTATTTATGCCGATGACGTCAATTGTGCTTACTCATATTCAAAGGACAGCGCAAATGTTTTTGTTGAAAAAATTAAGGCCAATTTACTACGTTAAAGCAGATGGAGTTTCATCATCCAAGTGTAGTTTCATGTCATTTGGTCCTACCAAACTTCCTGGCCCCATTCTTTTTCAGGATAGCCTACTATCAGAATGCTCCACCATAAAGGACCAAAGTTTAGGTTATACAGATAAACTTGCTTTATCACCTCATGCAGATAGAATCTCTGCCAAAGCCGCGCAGATACGTGATTCATATCGCATATTTTTTCCCTCCAGACATGATGCTGAGGCATTATCAAATGTTTGTTCATCCAGTCCTCGAATACTGCTGTCCTTTTTTGGTTTAATGAGCGTTGTGACCGTTATAAGATCGAAAGTGTTCAGAGGGTTTTTATCCGGAAACTGTTCTCTCGAGTCGCACCCGGTACTTCTTATACTCAGAGGTGTCAGCTGACGAACGTGAAGTTTTTGTGAGTTAGAAGACTCGCAGCTGGCCTTTGCTTCCTTTTTCGCATAAACTCTAGCTCCGGTCTTCCGCTCATTGACACTGTCACTCCAAGAGATCGGTCTTATGCCACGCGCATCTCCACCATGGTGATTCCGCCGCCTCTTTGTATTACATCTAAGCGCTCCCTCTTCGTTGCTTCCAAATATGCCTTCTTTTAGAATAATCTTCCACCTGAAATTAGGTCATCACCTAAATTACTGGTATTCAAGTCGAAATTGCGCAAACATCTTACACCGGAAAGCATAAAGGCACTGTTCACGGTCTCGTTCCCGAACACTCAGCTGCTTGACTTCGAAAGGGATCCTCCTGGGATTTAGTGGTAGATCAAGTGGTAACTCTCAATTATATCATTAGAAACGCCTGTTTTGAATTGGTTTCTAAATCAATTGCTATCACTCCTCCCCCATAGCGACGATTTTGCGGTTTTTGATGTCATCTCCCGCATTTCGACCTCATGCGGTCTGTCGACGCTCACGGCGGAACCCTTAGTATTCCGTCAAGTATCTCGTCAAGGTCAAGCCTCTGGTTTTAAATTTGAAGATAAGTGGAGGATATTATTTAAAGTGGTTCTTCTGTGAGACCTAACGAGTTTAGTACCAGTTTTTTTTGGTTGAATTTCCTTAAATACAGGCCTCTTCCCTCAGAACTGCCTGCTGCCATCTCCTTTTGAGTTTTGCTAGTCTATGCCCGTTGTTCACTAATCGCACTCTGCAATTCTCATTTTGTGCATTCGATTTCTCTCTAACTGTTGTAATTTATTTTTACATCGTGAGCCCCTAGCTGAAATTCAGTCAACTTGTCTGCCAGAAGTTTCCTTAATCACACATTGCCTCGAGACAAGATGAGACCAAAAGTCACTGGTCGGCGTAAGCTCTCGGATCTTGTAAGTAAGGATGGCCTAACTAAACGTAAGTCAGAAGCTTTACCTAAATCTAAGTCAGATGATATTACTAGTCAGTCGTCACCCGCTGTAATTGGTCGGTAGCTTGATCTGTCTGCACTTGACCACTGCAATGACTTTATGCTAAAGTTTGGCTCTTTGCTGACAATCCTTGGACATTTATTCGGAGATGTTCCCTCTGAAGAATGTAGGCGTCTCGACTCACTTGTTCACCTGATCGGCAGTAAATCTAGTGATTAACAGAAACGTTCTTACAACTTCCTGCTGAAAAATGTTCCTCGATCTGCTCGGCCAATTGATGTTGCGACCAATTTCCTGTATTCATGTGGTTTCAACCATAAAATAGCCGATGTCAAACGCTTGTCCTCCCGTAGCAAAAATCCACCCATCTTAGTCAAATTAGTTTCATCAATCGAGGTTGACACAATCTTTACCCATCGAGAGCGTGTCACTGCGTACCTAGAAAAGGCAAAATTTTTCATTTGTCATGATCTTACTCCTATGGAGCGTAGAATCGGGTCTTTATTCTCACGTAAACCCACTGCTTCTCAGTCTAATGCTCCCCAACTCGGTCATAATACAAGTGGCCGTAAGGATTCAGCTTGCCCTACTCCTGCGACATCTGACTCCCTCCTTCCTCTTTCTCCTACATCTCCATCTCACTCAAGCCACCTGACGCATTTGCCTGCCCCTAAGCTTGCAGCAGCAGCAGCAGCAGCAGCAGCAGCAGCAGCAGCAGCAGCAGCAGCAGCAGCAGCAGCAGCAGCAGCAGCAGCAGCAGCAGCAGCAGCAGCAACAGCCCCATTTGTCGTTTCGTATCCTCCGGATAGTCCCGCTGTGACACATGGAAATCCGTCTCCATCAGCTAGACCGATAACTTCTGTTGTCCAACTGGGTGCTGTAAGGTCTACAGTTAAGTCACCAGTGGCTTGGCGTCAGAACGGTGAGACTCGAAAATTGAACCAGACTCCGACCCAAAAGATAGGTAGTACAGTTCCATTTAGGGGTAAGACGCCTTCTCTTAGATCTAATAAGTCTGTCCAGCCCAGCACGTCTACAAACCCCGCAGCTCCAATTATATCCCCGAATAATTCTCTGTCCTGCGTACCGGTTACTTATCAAAGTCCTACTATATATCCAGCAAATAATTCATACATGAATTGCACTTAATCATTTATGCCCCAACCTAATTCAGGCTTCACACCACTTTAGGCCAATTGCTCTCAGGTACGTCAATCTACCTCCTTTGACTTCCAACCTAGACCTGGTTTCCCACCCTTTTATTCTTATAGCGGTCTACCCTCACCCACTAGCCCCTACTTCCCTCCTCCTCCCCTTCCTCCATTATTTAACTACCAACAAGTCTATACATGTTCTAACTCCCCTAGCATTCCAATGTTTGAAAACTATATCCCCACCTCCTTTAGGTCTCATACTCAGCCTCTTCTTGCTGACTCCTCGTACGTCAATAACTCTAAATTAACTGGTACTAATTCTCCAAGTGTCATTAATTCACAGCTTACATATCCACCTCCAAGTTTTTTTAAATACCGTCGAAAATAGCATTGCCGTTCGAAACACATTAGATATTATATTATTGAATGCCAGGTCTGTTATAAACAAGATGGCCCAAATCAGAGTCATTGCTCTAAAAATGACGCCTGATGTTATATGTTTAACA